TTTGACAAAGAAGCCAAAGTTATACAATGGAAAAAAACGAAAACTTCAACAAATGGTGCTGGCATAACTGGATATCGGCAGGTAGAAGAATGCAAATAGATCCACATCTATCACCCTATACAAAACTCAAGTCCAAGTGGATCAAAGGCCTCAACATTAATCCAGTAACATTGAACATGATAGAAGAGAAAGTGGGGAATAGCCTTGACCACATTGACACAGGAGACAACTTCCTGAATAGAACACCAGTAGCACAGACACTAAGATCGACAGTTAATAAATGGGACCTCATGAATCTGAATTGCTTCTGTAAGGCAAAGGACACTGTCAATAGGACAAAATGGCAGCCTACAAAATGGGAAAAATCTTCACTAACTCCATATCTGACAGAGAACTGATCTCCAAACTATATAAAGAACTAAAAAAACTAGACATCAAAAACCCAAATAATCCAATTAAAAAACGGTATACAGACCTAAACAGAGAATTCTCAGCAGAAGAATCTCAAATAGCAGAGAAACACTTAAGGAGATGTTCAACATCCTTAGCCATCAGGGAAATGCAAATCAAAATGACTCTTAACGCTATTATAATCACACATTTGTCGTGTAAGTATAAACAAAAATTGAGTTTAATAAGCCTATATAATTTCATTTTAAGCCATCCTAATTAGACTCTGCAATAGTTGTCTGACTACTTTCTTAAAATGAGTTGATAGATCTTAATGGGGAATTAGTAAACAGGCTCATCAAGCCTTGAAAACATAATCAGTTCCTTTAAAGCTGAACCATCTAATTAAAACAAGGATAAATTCCATAAATATTGTAGATCCAGTAAACTAGCTTCATTAAATGAGAATTGTTATTAGAATGTAAATATTCAATAAAATTAATAGAAATCCCACAACTTGGAATTAAACTTTAAATATTAAAGCTAAATGGTCTTTCTATGAAGTTTTCCTTTCTTAAAGCTCAGATTGATTTTGATGTTCAATGCACAAAGCCTGGAATTTTTGCCTTCCATAGAAAGTCAACAGCTAGGGACTGGAGAGATGGCTCAGAGGTTAAGAGCACTGGCTGTTCTTCCAGAGGTCATGAGTTCAATTCCCAGCAACCACATGATGGCTCACAAGCATCTGTAATGTGATCTGGTGCCCTCTTCTGGCCTGCAGGCATACGTACAGGCAGAGCACTTTATACATTACAAATAAATAAATAAATAAATAAATAAATAAATAAATAAATACATACATGAATAAAAGTCAACAGTTGAATATATATATATATATATATATATATATATATATATATATATATGCACCATAAATTCAAGTCATACTATGTGGTGCTATGGAAAGTAAATCAGGATAAAGAGTAAGAATATGGACTGAAGCAGGGGTAACTCTTTCATACACAAACTTCAAAAACAAAGATGGTCAGGTGTGAGCTTTTCTGGACATGAAAAAATCCGTAAAGCATATGTCAGAGGTAACACCAAAGTTCACAATTGAAGGCACTTGAAGATAAAAATTTGGGGGTAGGCATGATGGAACAGTGGGTTAAAGAAGTAACCGAGTCCCATAGAGGTTTACCCTGGTCCCAGACTGGAACTGGGAAGTAAGTGGCTGTGCCAGCCAGTTTTTAACCAAATGTCCTCTTCAATGTTTTGTTGTTCATCTATTCTTTGGAAAAGAATTCTAGAAACCTCACAAGCCCCAAAATTTTTAGGTTAAGAAAAAAAAAGAGAGAGAGAGTGAGAGACTGGGGTGAATGCATGCAGAACCTCCAGTGTTCTTAGGAAGGGGGTGAATGTGTGCAGAACCTCCAGTGTTCTTAGAAAGACCCACCCATCCTTTCTTCTCATCCCACCCACCATGCTGCACTTCCTGGCTGCCTGGAGCTTGACATTCTTTCCACCCTCTCCGTTCTTAGGCTATGGTGCTGGAGGAAAAGGAGGTGTATTCTCTGCCTATAATCCTTGCCCATTGCCTTCTCCCTAAAACAATCCTCTTTTGTTTTTCTGTAGTACATTTTTCTTCCAAACATGACTTAGGAATCCCACAAACCACACTCTTCATACTCTTTGCATCTACCAACATCTTCTCATAGCAATAATTTAGTCAGCCCTCATGTCGTTCTTCCTCTGAACACATCGTTCTCCACACTCTGCCTGACTTGATGGAACAGGCAGCAGAAGTAGTTCCACTCCAAATGTAGCCTCCCATTTCCTTTCTTTTCCCACTACTTTTTAATTTTTCCCTTTCACCCATTCACCCCCAGGCATTTACATAATATATATATATATATAATATATATATAATATATATATTATATATATAATATATATATATATATGAAAATATTTAATTGGGGGCTTGCTTACAGTTTTAGAGGGTTAGTCCATGATCATTATAGCAGGAAGCAGATAGGCAAGATGCTGGAGCAGAAGCTAAGAGCTTCACATCCTGATACACACACACACACACACACACACACACGGAGGGAGAGAGAGAGAGAGAGAGAGAGAGAGAGAACTCTTCCATTCTTGACAAAGTTCTACCTTGTGGACACTCAGCTCCTTTCTATTCTGAGATGGGATCAGCAAAGGTTGGAGAACACTTACCACACTGGCCAGGGCCTCTGAACCATGAGTGCTCAAACCTCAAATATGCTAGTCCTGCCAGTGAAGCTCCACTTACACCTGCTCTGTTCATACATCTATTCTCCTTAATCACAGCCTTATACCACTTCTTCTATCCCCAAATATCCAACCCTTGTCCCCCTTTCTGTTTTTTCCTGAAGAAATGAAGCTGCACCTTATTTAATGGAAAAAAAGTAATTGCAGCTCTTGATTCCTGTTTTTTCTGTGTCCAAGCCTTCTGCTTTCTTCTGCGGTAGGGGGTGAGCTACCTCAAGTCCTCCACTTGGTCATAGATTCTCAGCCTCACTAACCTAACACAATGATTAACTTCTTTTGTCCTTTTCCTAATTCCCTCTCCAGACCCTTCTCATCTGCATACATGCATGCCGTTATTTGAGATATCACTGAGAGGGATCTCTGACAGCATAGCTTGGGCACAGGAAAGCCTTTGTGTCCCCACAGTCTGACACAGCCGGAGTATAACCTCATCAGATACCAGGAGGGACCAGCAGGAGCTACAAACAACACTAGATAGACCCGCATAGCAATGGTCTGTCACTTAAACTGTTATTGGACTTCAAACTAGTTCAGTAACACAAGTGACTGCCCTATAAATTACAAGAACTGCATAGGGCACACAGAGTCCTAACTAATAGCCAAATCACACAGGACACAATTTTATAAAATACCATTCATACTCCAAACCATAATAACCACAGCCTGAGTATTGAAAGTCAATCGATTCTTGCCTGAGGTAACACAGGTGGTAGAATTACCTGGGAAGAAATTAAAGCAATCACCATAAAAATGCTTTCATAAGTAACTGCAAATTCTTTGGTAATAAGTACATAGAAAATAATAATAATAAACACAGATTATAGAAACGTCATGAAAATTATAGTACTGACGGAAGAATTCACTGAAATAAAAATAGTGTAAACCTGGTGTCAGGGCCGAGATGACAGATGATAGAATTACAGACTGTGGTAGCAGATCTATTGAATTGGCCTGTTCTGAACAAGCGAGAGGAAATAGATTGAAAAAAAATATGATACAGGGTTGGGAGATACTGCTCCGAGGTTAAAAGCATTTGCTGCTCTTGCAGGGGACCTGGGCTCAGTTCTCACATCAGGCTGCTCACAGCCACCTGTGCCTCAAGTCTCAGGGGAACCAATGCCCTCTTCTGGCTTCTGTGTGCACCTGCACGTATGTGTTGCACAGACATGCACTCAGGCACACACACACACACATATGATACAGCTTCAGTGACCTGTGGGTAAATAAGAAAAGGTCTGAAATTCTTATCAAGTTCCAAGAAGAAAGGGTAAAGTGGGTAGCTTGGAAAAGAATTAAGAGTGACAGCTGAAAACTTACTGAACAGCTAGAAATTGAGGAAAGCCAGGTGGGATAACCCCCAGGCATTTTACACAAAGGCACATCTTAGGTAAACATCTAGAAACCAGCATCAAGGAAGGAATCTTTCTAAATGAAAATTGTTATTTTCATTTTATGTGTATGAGTGTTTGCCCGTATATATATCTGTGTACCACATGTGTGCCTAGTGCCCACAGAGGCCAGAAGAAGGTGCTGGAACTTCTGAGCTGTCATGTAGAGGCTTGGAACTGAACCCTGCTACTATGTAAGAGCTGCAAGTATTCTTAACTGGTGAGGCATCTCGTCTGCTCTGAAAGAAGAAATCTGAAAGTCAGGCAGAGATAAGTATCAAACAGCCAGTAGGGCAACAATCATTAGAATGGCAAAGGATTTTTCATCTAAAAATATGAGAGCAAAGGGAAGCATCAAAAGTAAATGACTGTTGGCCATACAGCTAGTGAAACTGTGTCCAACACAAGTTCCTGTAAGGTAAGAGTGAATGAAGTTCTTCACACAGATGAAGTGACAAGAGAGAGTCATAGAACATCAGGAAGGAGGAAGGAAAAAAAGAAAATATGAGTGGAAATGGTAGGTTATCCTCACTAGTTTTGATTATAATGAATAAAACAAAATGCCATCAATACTCCAACACTTGTGTCTGACTTGACATACACTTGTTATAGAAATCAGGGAATAATTTAGACTTTCTAGCCCCTACTGGATCAGAAAAGCTATTAAATATGAGTCTGAGGCACATGGCAGCAATCAGAAAAAGTACTTCCTGTTGTAAGGGCAAGAGTTTGCATCCTCCACACTGGGGGAAGAATTGAGTACAAAGGATGTCTCAGAAACATGCTATTTCCATTATCCTGGGGGAAAACAAGTAGTGTGCAATATGTTTATGTGACACAGTAGTGGAAGAAGAATGTGTTAGGTTAGTAGATTTTCATTACAGACCACAGCTAACACATCAATTATTTCTTCAGCTTAAAGATGGAGCCCAAGACTAAAGGATTAAAACAGCAGCAGCAGCAGCATAAGAAACTTCTGGCTGCGATGCTTTCCCAGGATTCCTTCGAGTCCATCCACAGCCCCACACCATCTGTAATAGAAGAAGACATTGACAATGAAGACGATGCAATGGAGTTGCTGGGTAATTTTACAAATTAATAATTTCTCTTTCTCCTCTTTTCTGGCATTGTAAAAGTGTGCAGGAACCGAGGGGTTTTAAACATTCTCGATAGTTTTGTCTAAGGCAAAGGGAGCCCTTTAACATCCACTTTCCTTCCCTTAGACCTTTATGAAGTTGCATGTAAGAACTAAGCTGAAGCCATGGAAGCATGTGAAACACTCCCTAGACTGTACTATGTGCTTTATGTATGCAGCACTCTATACTCTGACTTCACCGAGCTTTATTCTGTGTGCAGTTGTGATAAAATGCAAATCTGTCTGTTTTATTTTCTTGATTACACCTATTGTCTATAAAATACACCCTCTTCCTAACAAGCCCCTGTGAATGTAAGGTTGATTTAGGGAAATAGCATAAAACTGAAAGATGTCAATAGTAAAGTAGTGTTTGATGCTTTTCACACACGATAGGAAGCTTTGCATAGATTTCAAAATCTTCTGAGACTCATCACCTTCCCAAAACTTCATTCATGTTGTAGATATTGTTTTCTTTTTATAGTTTTTTTGTGATTCAAGTATGTGATCCTGTTCCAATAGAAGTTTACATATATAAATTGTTAATTGAAACTCATTTTGAAAAATCATTTTTTTTTTGAGGCAAGGTTTCTCTGTGTAGTTCTGGCTGTCTTGGAACTATCTCTGTGGACCAGGCTGGCCTGGAACTTAAAGATCCACCTGCCTCTGCCTCCAGAGTTCTGGAATTAAAGGCATGAGCCACCATGCCTGGCTGGAAAATCATTTTTACAAAAGAAGAACATGAAGTTTGCTTTGCAAGTAATTCAAATGTAAAAATGGTGTGTTTTTAATTGATTGGTACTGGCTATTCTATTATAGAGAACTAATTTAAGCAATTTGTATATGCTTCCATAACAACATACCATTACATTTAAACTGAAAGGAGAATAACTAATGTGATTACATACAGATTATGTGTGCACGGAAAAGGTACTTTCTTTGAATTTCTAGACCATATTTCTAGGAATTAAGTATTAATGGCAGTAAAGTATTTTCTATAATAAATTGTAGGTCTCTATGCATACAGCTGCAAAGGTATTGTTCAGTAGATGATGGCAGGGTTGAAGATCTTTTCTAACAGTCTACTAGCTACCTTGAATCGAAAATTAAGGAGACTATATCATGACCCTTTTCATTAGATGCCATTGGGCTTTGTTTTCATTTAAACAATCAAGTCTTATTTCCCCACTTACAAATCATGAACGTGGAAGAGCTTCTAGATGTTACCATGGCACTTTCATTCATCTTTCACTCACTACACAGGACTTTGACCTAAGGTCATAAAACAAAATCATTTCTGTTTGGAGGAATTTTGCAGTCAGTTAAAAAATGTAAACTCATCATGTCCACCTTGTTCTTTTCCCGTGTTATCACAGTTGTGCATAGTGGTGACTCCCGGTGCATAAGCGGGGGCAGGGATCCTGGCAAGCTTGTCCTGGGGACAAGGAGGTGTAAACTTGAGAAGTGGAGCCTGAGCCCCCTGGGGGCTGGTTCACATAGGTATTGGGTCTTTGGTGACTGTGCCTGTAAATGGCTCCTCTGCTGGTCAGTGACAGTGAAAGAGATGATCAGGGGACTCTTCCAAGGCCCATGTGTCCACTTCATGCTGATTGTCTCTAGAATTCCCCTGTTCTCTTCAGAAATTTCTAGCTTCCTAAGCTGAAGACCGGAGGGTTGGATTGGGGAGTCTCCCTCGTATTAAGCCTTTAACAACTGGCTGTCATTAATTCATCTTCTCACTTTAGATAGTTAGCTTGCATTCTGATCAGGTTTAATGGTAAAGAATAGTGGAAGTTTTCACTGTGTGATCTCACACAGCTCAGGCCCGGTTGGCTGATGGTGACACTGATCTCTAAATATGTTAGCTCCTTGTGATAGCATGCAATGTTCAAGCACACAGCACTAGCCTTCCATACTGCCACGTGCAATTTCCCTGGTTTGGGAAATGATTCCAGAGAAAAATGTGATTGCATACATCTGAAGAAAACACAATGTTAATGCCTTGAAAATTCATGTGAAATCAAGACCTTGTGCATAGAATCATTGTTAAGATGTAACAGATACTGTGTTTAAAATGTCTTGTGGGAATCTAAAATATGTGGTAGAATGAGTTTACTGTAATGTGCTTTTAAGGGTTTAATTTATTATTATCTATGACATGATAAAATTAGCTGAAAATGTATCATGCATGGGAAGTTATCTGTAATTGTGAATTGATAAGTAAAATATATGGTTTTTAGCCAATAATAATATAAAAAATGAATTACCCATCAATAAAACTGGTTGGCTTAAGGAGGAAATCTTTTAGTGAAAGTAGTAGATATAAATAAAACTAATTCTTGTTGTCTTTATTGAAATGTAGTGTTGTTAATATATGCTGATTACATATTCACAGTTGCGTAATTGTATGTCTGTGGACTTATTTTGTAAATATATTAGGCATGTGAAAATATATGTTAGGATCAATTTTTATGTTAATTTTCTACCAGACTACTTTAAACCTTTTCTTATAAGTTTATAGTGTAGAAATGAATCCTTATGAAGCAAATATTATCTATTAGAGAATGAAGTATCTGAACTTGGAGTTTTAAGGAGACACCAATTTTAAGTATCTCTGAAAGTGGCTCTAGATATACAAAATTTCGATTAAAAATACCTTCCAACTTACCTCAAATGATAAAGTTTTCAATCACAAATGTAAGAGATTCTCAATTATTTTTGGTGGTTATATTAGCACATAATAATCAAAGTCAATAGAAACTCTTTATGAAAACATCACATTTCCTAAACATGTGGTAAAATCAAGAGTTTTTCAAAAATTGATGGGAGACGAGATGAGTTTCCCAGAGCTTCTGAGGGTTGTCTTCTTTCATCCTCAAGGTGAACTTAAGAAACTGTTGAAGGACATTTAGCCATGTGAACATTAGCGCATTCCCCCTACATTACATATCTTTATCATCACGTTATAACTGCAACAGTAATGTTTGTTTGAATATTTTCCACATAGTTTATATTGATTTTGTACCCATTAAAAACAAAACAAACCTAGAATTAAAAGGTGCAACCACTTTTTTTACACACTTTAGTTTGGACTATTACTTATAATATATTTTAGGCTTTCTTAGGTTTGATGCTGAGGGAGCTATCTAAAAATCATATTCTAGAGATGCTAAAATCATTAATCACACTTAGTTATATTTTCTGGCCTTAGCTCAGGATTATAAAAATTTTAAATTGAATCCAATTCTACATTGCCTCAAATAAACAAGGTTGTCATAAGTATATTTTACTTGTTTTAAGATAAATAATTAAGTATAACTAGAATGGCATTCCTTGCTGAATGCAGTTTCTAGGGATCCAATATCTTACCAAATAAATTAACTCATTAGTAAAAAATAAACAATATCTTACCAAATAAATTAACTCATTAGTAAAAAATAAAATGGATTTACTGGAGGGACTCATTAAGGTACAATGCTCTTTCAGCCAATTCTTTTGCATTTGTGATGAGCTTTTTGAAAGATAAACATCCACTGTCATGTGTTTGGTTAAATTGGAGGTCTTTTCCATCAGAAATGTCCTATGTTTACAAAGTAAGAATGGGTATTGCATCTGATGAGAGATGGATGCTGTCACTGTGGTGTGAGAATTAGAAGAAAGAGACCCTAAATGTCTTTTATAAATTCCTCACCTACATACCTGTACTTTAGTGACTTAACATCTACAAACTAGTCAGAAACAGAAAGGACCATCAACACAAGCCTCTCTGATTTTGTTTCCTTATAGAACTGATTATTTGACACATCAGAACAGCAGCTAACTTGTCACTTTAAAATAAACCAGTATTTTCATGAAAATGATTCTTTATAAAAATTCTGAGGACTTTCAAACATTAAACCACTGGGTGTTTCAATATTACCTAGAAGATTGCTTAAAATATTAATTCATTCAGTATAGTATACAAAAGCAAGCTAATGTAAATTAGTTCCCATTATAGATAAAATATCCAAATAGCAATTATTTAAGATATAATACTTTAAAACACTCAGAAGTTTAATATCAAAAATATTTAATAAAACTTCCTTAATCCAAGTAGGTTTTATCTTCACCTATATGATAGTCGAAAAATTCCATTAATTATTCTGCAGCTGATCACCACAAATTAACCAAACCTTATAGAGAACCTGCAGATAGATTTTTACAAGTTCACTAACTCAATCAGTGCAACTGGAGACCTAAGACATCCTGAAGTTGTGTAAGATATCTGTCACATGCCAAATATTTCCAAGCTCTGAATGCCTCTGCTCCCGTGCTGGCTTCTGTGCTTTTGAACTGGAACTTCTTCGAATGGCTTCCATGTCATCATTGTCCGTGCAAATGCCATGCAGGCAGTCACTGTGTGGTCCAAGGACTTGGATGCCAGGCTTAACTCTTTCCGTTATAATGCCATTTTTAGAAAATGTATTCCAGCACACACATTCATATGGCAAACTGTGCAGCTGCTGGGTGAGAATAACTCACGGGATATGGAACATCGCATATTATATTTAACTTTAAAAAGCTATTTAATCTTGAGTTTAGAGATAAGGGTGAATATTGTGGGAAATCCAGCTAGTCATGCTCTGTCTCTCAAGCCATTCATCCAGTTTCAGCAGGTTTAGTTCCTAAGGGTGTCTCTATCACTTACAGAGTGAGTCTGAATGCTTGTAATACTTCAAATTTGAACAAATATATGAGTCTGGATTGCGGGTGCCTATTTTCTTTTCTTTCTTTCTTTCTTTCTTTCTTTCTTTCTTTCTTTCTTTCTTTCTTTCTTTCTTCTTCCTTCCTTCCTTCCTTCCTTCCTTCCTTCCTTCCTTCCTTTCTTTCTTTCTTTCTTTCTTTCTTTCTTTTTCTTTCTTTCTTTCTTTCTTTTTCTTTCTTTTTGGTTTGTTTTTCAAGACAGGGTTT